AGGGTAAAACTAAGGCAAAACGACTTCTTAGTCGGTATCAAGACCTTGGTCCCTAATCTGGGTAAGCCCAAGACGTAATGACTCCTCAGTCGGAACAAAGTCTTTGGCTCTTCTTAAAGGTAAGCTCAAAGCACAACATATGGTTCGATTCCTTCTGCTCTCATCGTCCATAGTGGTCAAGATCTTGGTACCTCCTCAGGGTAAAACCAAGGCAAAATGACTTCACAGTCAGTATCAAGATCTTGGTACCTAATCTGGGTAAAACCAATGTACAACAACTTCTCAGTCGGAATAAAGCATTTGGCTCTTCTTAAAGGTAAGCCCAAGGCACAATGTATGGTTCGATTCCTTCTGCTTTCATCGTCCATAGTGGTCAAGACCTTGGTACCTAATCTGGGTAAAACCATGGTACAACGATTTCTCAGTCGGAACAAAACCCTTGGCTCTTTCTAAAGAATAAGTCTAAGGCAAAATGACTTTTTAGTCGGAACAAAGTCATTGGTTCTTCCTAAAGAATAAGTCCAAGGCAAAAACGATTTCTCAGTCGGTATCAATGTTTCTTTTTGTGTCCTGTGTCTGAGTGTGGGCATATGTGCAACATTGGAGTTGACTCATACAACCTCAAATAAAGGTTATTCCATCTGGCTGATGTTGAGCCGATTCGACATGTGTTGGGTGATCCACATTATCTTCCCTATAATCTGCCTTGATAATGATTGCTGATGAGCAAGCAATACTCCAGTCGATTGAGGCACATATGATATGCTTATATGGCTGAAGACCCACAGTGAATTGCAAAATGAAGGTTATAACTTGATATTTGCCTCAACAATCTGTCACAGCTAGAAGTGAAAAAAGTGAGCTCCATGGATTGAGGAAGATGACTTGATTTTGTGGTTAATCAAAAGTTTGAAAACCTTTAGATTGAAGACTTGAGGATCTAAGGCTGCTCTTTGTCAAAATGCTGTTGATACTCATAGTTCTTTCTTTTATTTTATTTTTTTAACATACGCACACATGAATAGATTTTCAATTTTAAAAGACTTCTGGTCGAAAGATACTCTTTAGTAATACTTCTATTGACACACAGTGGTTGTATTTATGTCTTAAATCTGAAACTGGTTATATTGTGTTAAATCTGAAAGATTTAATGGTCTAAAGCTGTTATTAGTAGAACAGTCATAGAACCTATTAATGCTTGTGAACAAACAGTCGATAGGGGTTTCCCACAGTCGGATGCAATTTTGATCCTGACGACGGTGGGGAAGGAGAGGATGAATGTTTGTTCACGAGCATCAATAGGTTCTATGACTGTTCCACCAATAACAGCTTCCATGACTGCGGGAAACCCCCATCGACTGTTTGTTCACGAGCATCAACAGGTTCTATGACTGTTCCACCAATAACAGCTTTAGACCATTAAATCTTTCAGATTTAACACAATATAACCAGTTTCAGATTTAAGACATAAATACAACCACTGTGTGTCAATAAAAGTATCACTAAAGAGTATCTTTCGACCAGAAGACTTTTAAAATTGAAAATCTATTCATGTGTGCGTATGTTAAAAAAATAAAATAAAAGAAAGAACTATGAGTATCAACAGCATTTTGACGAAGAGCAGCCTTAGATCCTCAAGTCTTCAATCTAAAGGTTTTCAAACTTTTGATTAACCACAAAATCAAGTCATCTTCCTCAATCCATGGAGCTCACTTTTTTCACTTCTAGCTGTGACAGATTGTTGAGGCAAATATCAAGTTATAACCTTCATTTTGCAATTCACTGTGGGCCTTCAGCCATATAAGCATATCATATGTGCCTCAATCGACTGGAGTATTGTTTGCTCATCAGCAATCATTATCAAGGCAGATTATAGGGAAGATAATGTGGATCACCCAACACATGCCGAATCGGCTCAACATCAGCCAGATGGAATAACCTTTATTTGAGGTTGTATGAGTCAACTCCAATGCTGCACATATGCCCACACTCAGACACAGGACACAAAAAGAAACATTTTCATGCACATTCCAGAAAAGTTCACGCAAAACAGAAGTATTGAATCTAATATACGTGGCTGCCACAATATAGAATAATGTCGAAAGTGGTCACGCTACCAAGTAAACTCATAACATAACCTGGAATCCCTCTCCTGTCACTCACTTGATCCATTCATAATAGCTGGGACTTGGGAGTTTGGAGGCTTAGAAAATCATTTTGTTTGTTTCTGCCCTTCAGGTAATCCGTCTAGGCTGGTTTATAGCTATGTTGTAGATAATGTATTTATTTTAATAATTATGTTCGTTTACACTTGATGACTTGTTCAAATTTTTATTTATGTTACTGCCCTTAGGCATGCCAGTATATCAAAATTGCAAATTTCTTAATCACAAGGTCATCTGCAGTTGAATCATATGTAATTATGTATAGCCTATCAGTCACTTTAGCAGTTAACAGTGACCTAGTGATGCCAGCATTGCTCGAGCGAAACGAAACGCTCAGTGGTTGTTTTAGCTAAAAGCAGAGATTTGGAGATGTTTGAGGCTTTTTACAACAAAGCTCACAAAATAATTTTTCCCATGTATAAATACAATAAATTCAAAACTAGAATCTGGAATGGAAATTTGCAAGAAAACATGAAAAGGATGTCATTAGTCACTCTCAAAGTTTAAAAATAATCCAATTGAAATTAAGCAACCAAGAAACAAGACTTATGTCAATGACTTTTCCATTGAATACGATGGGAGTAGTAGTAGCAGCAATGATACAAAAACCAATATGAATCTGGAACATAGCCTTCTTAGATAAAATATCAAATATGTTGGTCTGAAAGTAGTTGAGAAAGAAATCATGATAATCACCAAGAAGGAAAAAACCAGCCAAACTTCACTGCATTATCAGTCCTGCAGATAAAAAACAACAATTACTTAATATATGAAAAAATCGCTCACTTGTGCTGCTGTGCAACCAACAGGCATCATGTGCTCCAAGCAAGAATTGTGTGAAATTGGTCCTAAAATTACGAAGTTACCACATTATTTGCAATAAGGAGGAGTAAAATTGTGTAATCAAATAAATATACATAAGGTCTTCTTGGTCTCTATCTGACTACAGCAGTGAAAGAGTTGGGAACTAAATATGGAAACTTAGGTGAAATGTAACAGTCATCAGCACGTTGCAGATAATAAGCATCAAGAACTTACCTCATTGCATGATACAGAGGCCTATACCAGAGTATATATGAAAGAGGGCATCCAAGCAAAGCATAGATGCATGCAAGCAAAAAGATCTTAACACCTTTATAGTAATATATTGCATAAACTGATTTAAGATAGAACTCTTCCCAATAAACAATTTGGAATTGCTGCACTACAGGTGATGCAAGCTTGCCTCCTTCCTTAATCCAACACACGATGACAGCAATTATATTCCATCCGAGACAAAGAAGGATGCCTGCAAGAAAATACACAAAGAACAGTTTGTCATCAGGCAATTCCATATTTTCAACATGGTTAATATTAGCAACAGAGAAAAATAATCCACCAGTTGCGTCACTGGACAAATCTATACACAAAAGGTACCAAAGAATGAAATCCAGGTGTCCAGAACAAAATTAAGCCATAAGCATTGGAAACAAACTTATAAAAAGTTTGAAATGAATTAAATTCAGAAGTCAACATTAGCGCAAAAAATCACAAGAATAGATGGTTGATTCAATATTTGAACAAATAACTGTTCTGAGTGTACTCTAAGCGGACTTCTGAAGTGCAAGAAATTTAACGGAAAATATTGAAGTCAAAAGTTTGAAATCTAGTGGGCAGGATATCTGATCTGATGGGTAAAACACGTCTTCATAAAATATCTGATGCAGTTATTACCATATTTCTGTTTGCTTTCTCCTCTTAGCAGGTACTGGTGCCACAGGGTATATTGGTCATATATTAAACTAATCATCATATTCATCATATTATATAAAACAACATAACTCACAATCACATACAGTTACTATCAGAGGCTACCGAATATGACAAAAAGGATTGGACATAAGAAATGAGTTAAACCTTTTATTATTTTAATCCTCCTTGCAGAAGAAAGAGAGTGAAAATTAGATAAAACTGCATGATAAAACTGTACTAAAGAAACACGCTAATGGTGCAAAGGTGACGCTGGAAAAAGGAAGTCCATCAAAATATGAAGATCTTCAGAAAAACACAGATTCAAACAAACAAGTTCATGAATCATAAAATATTTCTGGATCCCAGAAGGAGGTAGATTTCCACGCGATATCCTCTCAAACCACAATTCATCAAAACAATTGACTATTAGAATTATGGAATGCGCACTGTAAATAAAAGGTAGTAAACCTTAGGATTTGTCTATATGCTTCAAGTATTTGTGGCAATTTGCTTTCAATAATAAAATCGATTTACAGTATTTTAGTTTGTGACTGAAATAGAAATAATAAAATCCATTGACATTATCCAAGTAATTGAAAATTAGCATCTGACTAATGATGGGAAATCAAGAGATACACTCAAAAAATAACTTTGTACCATGGTTCTTTGAATCACAGATAAATGTAGTTTTTCTCTTTTTGATAAACAAGGCATGAGTGCCATTAGATGCAACAATAAGAATATACAATAGAAGAAGATAATATGAATAACGCATACCCAGCCAACTCGCAAATGCCAGATACTGTAGTCGCTAAGCATGGATAGGTATCTCCTTAGCATTATCATGATGAATGAACGGATCTCCTCAACAGGAACACCAGCTGAAATTAACAAGACTCATGCTATCATCAATCAGTGAACCTTGCAAACAGTTTAAGAACCAGCTTTGGAAACCTCCAAACTCACTGCTCATCGAAGCATCCTCCCTCATTTTTTTGTCCTGCAAGAAGAAACCAACAATATATATAAAAAAAATTATCTTTTTTTATAGCTATAGTTTTAATTTCAGATTAGAGATAAATGACTTATAAGTAATTTGTGCAACCTGCTCTCCCTTTTTAAATTAGCTTCCCATGAAGCAAGATCCTTCTCCTTCTTCGCTTCCTGTTGATATAAAGACATCAATATACTGAATCAATTAACAAAATATACAAGTGAATAGCATATATTCACCGATCCAGGAGGAATATCAACAGTCCTAATTCTAACATGCCCCCATAGGTTGAGGGCTCTCTTTTTATGGGCTGAAAACTTGGACTCGACGTAGCGGTAATAATTTTTTAAAATCCACATTAAATTCACAGAAGCAAGATTCGATTCGAACCTAGGTTGCTCTTATCTTAAATTAAGACATATAACAATTACAACAAAACTCAAAGTTATGGTGAAGGTCGAGCATTATAATTTTATATTAATTCTAACAAACGGCAGCATCATTCTTGTTCCCAAGACCAAACGGAAATGACGACAGCCCAGAAAATCAAAGTTTCCAACCAGAATCCGACGAATTCTGCAATGGAACAGCTCAAACTATTGCAAATTACGAATGTTAATCTAACTTGATCAGATCTGAAGAACCGGAACCCTAGAATCCATCCACGATTTCTCATTCAGGGACAAAATGGCCGCCGATTCACCAACATTTCGGAATCGGAGTCTAGGGTTCCGTTTGATTTGAGATATTTGAAATTTGAAAATGAAGAAAAGAGGGGAAAACGGAGTGAGGGCTTTGAGATTACCGCGAAGGGGCTGACCGTGGTGTCGTCGTGGCGCTGCATCCTTATTTTTCCTGACTTTAGGAATGATAAGGGTCTGTTTTGTTTGTTTGGCTAAAAAAAAAAAAAAGAAGGAAATCAAAGAATAAAAAACCTATTTTTAAAAAAATTGTTTTATGATTGTTTGGTTGGCTTAAAAAAAGAAGGAAATCAAATAATAGGAGAGGAGAGGAGAAGAGATTAGTTGTCACCATATTATTGGATGATTGGATGAATTTTTAAGAAAAATTATTTTGAGGTTGTTTGGTTGGTTGAAAAAAATAAGGAAATGAATTATAAGATGCGCATTTTTCGAACAAAGAAGACGACTATAGGATCGAATTCGCTTTCCGTGGTGAACTGGTCGTCCCATACCTTCTGCCTGTCTCATGTGTGTGGAACCAGGTCTTTTTCGGTTCCAGCTCTTATAATAGGTTCTTCTCTTGTGTTCGGTTCATTCTTAAAAATAAGAGATGATATGAGATGAGTTGTCATTATATTATTGGATGGTGTGACACACGCTTTAGGAAATCAATTTCTTTAGTTTTTTTGAGGAAATGGGAGGAAATAAAATGTTAATGAGATGAGATGAGTTGTCATCATATTATTGGATGATGTAGGTGATTTTTAAAGATAAGATGAGTTGAGTTGGATGATGTGACATGTTTCTTGTGTTTGGTTTATTTTTAAGAAGATGATATGAGATGAGTTGATGAATGAAAATAATATTTTATTGGATAAAGTGGATGAGTTGTTAGATAAAAATAATATTTTATTGGATGTTGTGATGGGTTTTAGAGATGGAAATGAAGAAAATTGATGTTTTTGAAATTTCATTGACTCAATTTCCTATTCTTGGTTTTTAGGAAACCAATCAAACAGCCCCTAACAGCGCAGGAATTTTCTTTTTCACCTTCTTAATTTAGTGGGACCGAATGAAGATAGAGAAGGACGAGCGTGAACTGTACGTAAAGAGGGGGTCCAACTATTCACACTCCAAAACAGTAACTTTGGGGGTGTGTGAGGACTAAAATGTCCTTCTCCCAAACCAAACCAGGCCAAGTCCAAAAGGGTATTTTCGGCAATCCAACTCCCAAAGTTACTGTTTGGGAGTGGATATAACAAACATGGTAAAGAGGGATTATCTGCAAAACCCTCAAAGTTAAAAGAGGGTTTATTTATCAAAATGAAATGTTTATATTGGGGTAATAGAAGCCTTGTCGAGTATTAAAAGGGGGAAAATGGAGCTTGAAGTGTCGTGGTGGTGAAAGCATCATCGTATCCAGTGATTTCTAGTATTGTTTATTTAATAGTGCATTAGAATGAACTTACAGATTTATGTTCTAATCCAAATATTGATGTATAGGAACTGATTTCTGTACAACCTTGACTAAGTTAATTGCAGACATACCTTATGTAGTGTCTCTGTCTTGAATTAACTATCCCTTCTAGTTTTATTTTTGGCTAAATAGCATTTAAATACCTTATAGTTTCACTCCTTTAGCACTTATATACCCTTAGTTGTATTTCGTAGCATTTATATACCCTTAGTTGGTCAAAATTGGCAAGTTAATACCCTATATTTCGCAAACGTAAAAAATTTTAATCGGAAAATTCCTATATAGCATTCATATGTTAATTTTAGAGCTTCTTAACCATTAACATTTATTAAATTACTATTAAATCTATACAAATTTTAATTTAAAAATGTTAAATTCTATCACGTAAATAAAATTTGGAAAGATTTAACAATGAATTGAACAAACTTAGTAGACAGAAAATTATAAGATTACCATATAAATATCATATGAAAACTTTTTTGGGTGAAAAATTTCACGTTTGTAAAATATAAGGTATAAACATGCTAATTTTGACCAGCTCGGGGTATATAAATGCTACTAAATACAAGTAATGGTATATAAATGCTAAGAAAGTGAAACTATATATAAGTTATTTAAATGCCATTTAGCCTTTATTTTTCAGATAGACCCCTCAGTGAATTTTATTTATTATTATTTTACCCCTAGGGGCATACTTGTCAAAAATATTTGGTCTAGTGCCATTGTTTTGAAATTACCGTCCCTTCTATTCTCGCAAATAGACTCCTTGAGTGAAACTTTTTGACTCTTCTACCTTCATAGCATCTATTCGGAAGACATTTTTTTCTTTTGTACTACTATTTTTTAATTTTGCAGACCGATCCAAAGTGAAATATTTTCTCTCTTTTACCCTCAAGGGGCCTATTCGTCAAAAAAAAAACCAATTTCTCTACTCTAAAGGTAAAAGAGTCAAAAAAAAAAAATCCCCCATGGCTCTAGCTGTAAAGATAAAATTAAAAGGATAGTAAGTTCAAAATTAACAATGCTACTTACAAGTAACAACATTACCCTCTCCTGCAGGCTACTGAACTCAAGTGTGGTGGGTTGGTGGCATCCTGCGTGTTTAACCACAGCATCACCGATGCTTACTCGATCAACATGTTCCTAGTTGCCTGGTCGGAGCTCATGTACACATATAAGCTCCAAGCCTATCTCTCTCCTCCTATCCTTTCGTCG